TGCCAGTACAGTGATGGTGATGGGGAGCCTCTCCCGCCTCCTCAGCAGTGCTAAGAATGTCCGACTGCAGCTTAGGCCTGCTTTCCGCTGGCAAGGGGGACATCCCCCTAGGGCTCCTGGGCTGCCAGAGGGATGTCTGACTGTCAGCTTAGGCTCAATCACCTGGGGAGTGGGCCTAAGCCAGCAGGCGGTCATCCCCCGAGGGTCCTAGACTGCGAGAGGGCACAGGCTGGGCTGAGGACCCCCCCCCCCCGAGTGCACAAATTTTTGTTCACCGGGCCTCTAGTAATAATAATAATGATAATAATAATAAAAGAAAACCAAAAACCAAAAAACAAAAAAACCCTAAGTAGTGTAGCATGTGTCACCCTTCTACAACTGGTATTATTTTTTTGACTTTTAATGTTGTGGTGCTGCCAGCACAGACTTCTGAATTAGACAAGGGGCTGCAGTGGTTGCCCCATAGATGCTTAATGTGATCCAGATTGGAGAAAAAGGGCACACTTTGAGGAAAGCAAAGCCATTTGAAATAATATACAAACATCTGGAAGCATACAGGTGGTCCGAGAAGTCCAGGATAGCCATCAGGGCCTGGAAATCCAACAGCTCCTTGAGTTCCATTACAGCCATCCAGGCCAGGTGGGCCTCTGGGCCCTGGTTGTCCAGGGTGGCCCTGTTTAAAGAGAAAAGAAGGGGTCAAGTCAGGCACAGGACTCTCAGCTACTCTCTGATAAACTCAACAGTGAGAGGATCCAAGCATGCTGCCAAACTCTGGCCCTTGTTCATTCTTAGCCCCATCAGTGATGCTCTCATAGCTTTCCTTTTTACTCAGGTGTATGTTGCTGATAACAGTTCAGTGTTACTCCTTCCAAAAGTATTAATGTTTTATATGATTCAAACTGAAACCAAAGAGATCAAGAATGAAGAGATGGGACACACAGCGCATTGCAACCTCACCTTCCCTGGGTACAAAAATATACTAAGTTGGGGCTTAGCTGTCTGGAAGCTGAACTGCTACCAACATGGAATCATGGCAGGCCTTAGGACTCCTCAGAACAGATTGGAGCCTGGGAAACCTGGGGTGGCTTTCTGTATTAAAAGCTTTGCATAAGAAATGATGCTGAATTTTGGTCAACTGAGCAGAAGCAATTTTCACAGCAGCACCTCTCCTGAAAGCAGTTTGGTAAAAAAAATAAGCTGGTTCTGGAAAAATTACACTTTCAATTCTATTTTATCATTATCACATATCATGCTATTGCTTCAGTTAGGAATGCTATCTTCCCCTCTTCTCCATACCAATGAAGCAGTTGATTTGCTGGGCTATTAGTAATCATTTATATACAGTTGGTATTAATTCAATAATTTTCCAGAGTTGGTCTTTCTTGGTGAATATACCTTTTTTGTAGGGAATATCTCTTTTTTAATCTATCAAAAGCAGGTTGGGTATTGGGTAAGCAGCAAAGAGATAACTTGAAAGACCAGAAATCTAGATAGGTCAATAAAAGGTAGACTCCTACCCTCTCACACACACTTTTGAAATCCAAGTATATATACAATGAATTGAGGAAAATATGTCATGAATTCAAAAGTAAACTTCTCAAATTATTAGAGGAGACAAACTTTTATCAAATTCTTATTGAGAAAATGCTCCGTAGAATTATTTCATCTTCATTGTTACTAAGTTGTAGAAGATAGACAGTCTACAAAGATGTAGAAGCATACAAAGATCTGGAAGTATACAGATGGTTAAAATCAGACAAAAGTATGATTCTATACTGCTAGACTCATAGAATACTAAGTCTAGAAGAGTGGTCATTAAACTTATCCTTTCAATAAACTTGCTGCAATCTGTGCTTTCCAGACTCATGTGATGATTTTTACTTGCACTGGGGAAACTGAGACAGCTTATTAAGTCATCATTTTATTACTAACTGAGATGGCTATTCTTATTTTCCCCCTGAAGATCTACATCCTACCTTCCCCAAATCTGTGCCTTGGGAGGCTGACCTTTATGGACAGCACTGTGTAAGCTCCATTTCCCTTTGATTCCTAGTTGTATTTGGCACTAGAGCAGGAGGAGAAAGAGCACATGCTATTTATTTCCCTTATGCCTTTCATCCTTGGCTATATCTCTGGCAATGGCCACATTTCTCTATGATTTTAGCTCCTGTTGGAAAACCATTATTCCATGGCTCCAGGTCACACAGGGTTCCAGTATTACCATTGCTTCTTTCCCCTTTGGTCACAAGGGTGATAACAGCTTTTTGTTAGTTGCTTCACCATTCATTGTTGTTTCCATTAATCCTGACCTTTAAATCCTTTAAATATACCCTTTACTCAACTCTTGTGTTAACTTTTTCAAGTGTAGTACATATTTCTTCCTAGGATCCTGACTACCACTTTAAAATGTCCCAGCTAAGCTTGCTAGAAGCAATCTCTCAGTTGAGTAACAGGGATGAGTTAATGTAAGACAACAGGCTGGCTCAGTATTAGGGGGCTTACCACTAGGGCTTTGGTTCTGTTTGACACCAAAACCTTTGCTTGAAATCTTGCCCATTGGTACCCACATTTTTTTCTTGTCCCCAATTCTTCTGTAGTTTTCTTGTCTGAACTCCTGATATCTTCTATCTGCAGGATTCCAGGGACACCTGTTCACTCCTACCTTAGCCAAATTCTCTGGGATTAACCTCTGACCTCTGACAGACCTGTCAACCCTTTCTTATCCAGCTGACACCATGGGATGGTGGATAAAGCATGTTTGAGTCAGTCAGACTTATACTACAATCTTAGCTTTGCCACTCCTCAACTTAAGCCTCAGTTTCCTCATCTGTAAAATGGAGATGAATAATACTATCTCATAAGGTTGTTGTTAACATTAAAATAAAATTTAAAATTTATGGTTAAAATTCCATGAGACTGTTTACTACACAAGAGCTCAATAAATGGTAAGTCTTCTTCTCTCAAGCAAGTCAGCAAGCATAAGCCACCAGGCTCCGTTCTGTCTCCTCTCAGCTCTCAATACCAAAACATTTCTGGCACATTGACCTTTCTGGTTATTGCTAATGATTTTTCATATGTGTGTGCCAGCCCTTCAAGAGAATGTAGCTTTAGCTTTTTTTTTTAGGGAGAAAACAATGGTTTTATATAACCACAAATTTCTCAACACATAGAATAGGGGGATCTGCTGTATTTCAGAAAAAGCAATGCTCTTTAGAACCCATATTTCAAAGGAATAGTTTCCATTTGGTGAGCAGCATGTGTTCACTTTGAAGATATAAATCTGGTGTGTTCATTTATGCATCTTTAGGCAGAAAACTGTTTAAGATTGACTCTATGGGGAAAGCTAAACATAAATTGCAAAGGATGACTTGAAAACTTCTTCTCTCAAATTATCTGAACTAAAAATACTCAAAAAGCATACATTTCTTGAAGGTGCCAGCAGCCCCAAATCACAGCTATGATATCATTAAAAGCCACAACCCTACTATCCCTAGTTTATGTTTTTTTTAATGTTGAATATGTTGATGAATGCTTGTCCACTCTCTCAATAGGTTGCTGTGCCCCTTAGTGCACAGAATTGGATGATCATGAAGTGACTACTTGCTCATTCATGTTGAAATTGTCTACATGACAGCAAAAATGGAGTTTTGGGAGTGAAACCAGTGGCATATATGTTAGTGATCAGCCATTATTAAGATGAAAATCAGGTCTTTGCAGTGATCCAGTTTTGTAAGATGTGTTTGGGAAGCTGTTGATTTTAGCCAAATTGCTTAATAAGTGCCACTGAAAGTTGAGAAAAATAATGTCTGAGTAGGCCAAAGGTGTCTGTTGTATTCCTCTGTCTGAGGGAGTCCTGTCAGTCTGAGAACTGTTGTTTTTATAGGTTCTGGAGGTTGGAATCCATTCCCCAAATAATTTTAGAGTTCCTAGTATATGCTGAATTCAGCCCTGGGGTCTCTGAGGTCCCAAAGAGGAGCAGAAAACATATTTGTGTTTTCAAGGAGCTAACTAATACTATTACACAAGACAATCAATCAATATCATTGACCATATGTAATAAGGAGCTAGAGGGTGTGGGGCAGACATCAAGGACTCCTGGAAAATTGCAGATGGAAGGAAGAGGTAAGCAGTAAAAATAAGGTGCTTAATAAATTCATCATGAATAGCTGGAAAAGAGAGGATGAATAAGGGAGAATGATTTCATGGAGTAAGTGAGGCTTGGAGCCTCTTGTCAAAGCAATCAAAAGTCAAAAAAGTCAAAAGTAAAGATATACAACCTTTGGTCAAGGGAAGGGCCAGTGAAGGTCCAAGGGAGTGGAGACTTCTACTGGGAGCAGCATGCTTATTTGGAGGAATCTGGACACCTGCAACTCATTCTCCCAAGCAGTAAAGTCCCAAAGAGAAGTGATAAATTCCTGCAAGCCCTAGTGCTCTCCAAGTTATGAGTTGCAGGCAGAAATGTCCAGCTGGACTCTGGGGCAGGTTCCAGCTCAGAATTGGAATTAGCCTCTGCATCAAAGGATTCACGTCCTTCCAGCTCCCATTTAAAAGAGACTACCACTAAAATCTCTAAACCCCCCCACTCATCTCTGGTGAAGCCAGCTCCACAGGATGAATGGAAGAGGCAGCCTCCAGTTTGCTAGTTTCCCTTACCCATTGGCTTCTTGAAGACACACATTCTGAGTGGAGACTGCATAAAATGGCTATAGGAACACAGGCATGAGACAATGCCAGGGGGCATCACAAAAGAAAGATCAACCCAATACACTTATTTCCCCACTGGCCTATTTCTGTGCATTTTGCAGGGTCTGAACTTAAATAAAATGCAGAAATCTGATGGCTGATTTGTTGATACGTGTAACAAACACAAGGTAAGTGAGTCTTCTATTCTCAAAATCCACAAATGTATACTAGATCTGGAGAGGAAATGGATTAGATGAGTATATCTTTATGGGTAGAACTATATATTTTTTCTGTATCATCTTAGTAGAGTGTTAGTATATATAGCAGGTGCTCATGAAATACCTATAGACTGGCACAAAGACATCTGAACATCCTTCCCTAATACTAGATGATTATGTAGTGTCACATAAGAAGCTGTTTTTTCTAGGGCTTCCACACAAGATTTGGTTCTTCTCTTAAAAAAGGTTGAAGACCATTGCTATAGACAAATAGCCCAGGCTAAAGTTTAAATATATAGAGAAGTGAGAAAGGAAATAACTAAAAAGTGATAGCAGCAAGTACAAACACTGTATTTTAAAGGCTGGAAAAATGTTTCCATGTGATCTCCAGTGGTGAGATAAGTAGGGATATGAGGTGAAAATGAAGAAACTATGCAACTGGGTTGGATGAAATGGGAGAAGAAGATGTCTGCAGGCACCAAACTCCCCACTTATCTTCAGCAAAGTCAGTTGTTCAGGATTGATGAAAGAGGCTTATCTTTGGAGTAGTCATTTTGTAAAAACTAAAGGAAAATTCACTCTGAAATGAGAGGAGCCTGAAGAGAATAAATTATAGGAACAAAATGTATCAAGATATTTTTCTACCCAATTTCATGCACTTTCTTAAATTTCGTATAATGAGTGTGTTCATGTTCTAATGTGGCACTGACTCTACACTTCAGAGCCAGTCTCTTATTCCCAATTAAAGCTCCCCTCAACCCACAATGCCTACCTCATTTTCTAAGATATTGATAGCTTCTTATATTTGCACATGTATCTGCACCCCCAGCTGTGTCATTTGGTAATG